AGCTGGATCTTAAAATCCCCAAAAACACCCCCAGCTGGATCTTAAAATACCAAAAAACACCCCCAGCTGGATCTTAAAATACCAAAAAACACCCCGAGCTGGATCTTAAAATACCAAAAAACACCCCAAGCTGGATCTTAAAATCATGGGATATCAGAGGATAGCTGGAGTTGGATCATAAAATCATGGGATATCAGAGGATAAATTGGATCATAAAGTCATGGGATATCAGAGGATGAGTTGGATCTTAAAATCCTGGGAAATGCTGAGCTGGAAGGGACCCACGAGGATCATCCGGGTCCAACTCCTTGGCCCTGCCAAGAATCCCCCCCAAAACAAAATCTGAACAAAACCAAGTCCAAGTAAAAATCTCCCCCAGCCCCCCTGATGCTGGCCCAGGGGAGGGGCAGGCGAAGGTTTTAGGCCCAGTTTGGTGCTGGGAAAGCTCAGGGGGGCCCCCAAACCCCACCCCAAGTGGTGACCTGAGCCTTGTCCCCCCCCTGCCCCGCTGCAAAGGGGCCCTGGGGGTGCTGCACCTTCTGCCTCCACATCACCCCCTCCTCCTCCTCCTCCTCCTCCTCCTGCCCTCCCCGGCCCCACTCACCAGCCCCGGAACAGAGCAGGGCGAGGCAGAGCCACCTCGTCCCGCAGCCCCTCGGCTCCATCCTCCTCCTCCTCTCCATCCCCCTCCTCCGCCGCCCCTCTGCTGCAACATCTTCCTTCCCCTTTTTTTTTTTTTTGCTTCCTGTGAGCTCGGAGGTGAAACCGGGGGTGATTAACACCCCTAAATCAGCCCCTGGAGTCATTTTTGGGAGTGGCAGGGAAAGGGCTGGAGCGGGAAGGGAGGGGGGTGATGATGCTCCAGCTCCTCCCCGGCTCCCTTCGGGCCCCTCCCTGGAGCTTCCAGCGCTGCTTTGAGCCCGGTCCCAGCCGAGGATTGGAGTTCCAAGGACAGGTTTGGTGCCACGTGGGCAAATCCCTCTGGAAAACACACGAGGCTGCGCTTTTAATGGGTCGGTGTGAACCGGAGGAGCCCGAAACCAGAGAAAACACAAATTACTCCCGTCAAGAACGGGCTGTTTTCACCCCGAATGAGATGCAGGCAGGAAAGGGAGCTCTGGCATTTTTTTTTTATTCCAGCGGCTCCTGGAGGACCCCCCTCCCCGTGCCAGGCGACTTCAAAGGCGTCTCCGGTTTCATCCCTGAATTATTCACCAGGCGAGACAAAGAGCAGGAGAAAAGGGGCAGGAAGAGGATTCCCGGAGTCGCTCCGATCGGAGAATTGACGCCAGGGAGGGTTCTGGGGGCTCAGCCACCGGCTCCGGGTGGGTTTGAGGAGCAGGAGAGGATGGGACGGGCTCCTAAATCCCCGCTGGGAACCCGCCGACACTTCACACACACAAATATCTCATCCCAGAACAAAACCTCGCACATCAAAGGGGCAGAACAGCATCAATCCCAGCCCTCATCCCGTTTTTCCCCCGAGCCCAGACCGTCCTCTCCCGGATCCCAGCACGGCACTGGTGGTGCTGGGCTTCGTGCCGGGCTCGGTGCTGCAAAGTTTTGGGGTTTTCGAAGGTCCCCAAAACGTGGGGGGAGGGCAGCAGGTGCCGAAACCCGCGGCCGAGGTGCGGCGGGGGAAGAGGGTTCAGCTCCTCGGGGGTATTTTTAGATCTTCCTTTAGCAAAAAATGAAGAAGCCGAGTTTGAAAGTAAAAACAGCCAAAAAAAAAAAAAAAGAGAGAAAAATAGCAACATAACAAAATAACCAGGAGGAACTTCTTCACAAAAAAGGGTTTTTAAACTTTGGGAGGGGCTGCCCGGGGAGGTCACGGTTCGTGGAGGTGTCCAAGGGACGACTGGACGTGGCACTCAGTCACTTTTTTGGGGTTTTTTTTCAACTCGTTTAGGTTGGAAAAGGCTTCCAAAATCCTCAGGTCCTCGCCTCTGGGATGAGCAGCCACGGTTTTGGTCAAAGTAGGTGGAAAAAGGAGCTCGAACCCCACAAGGGGAGGGTTCCTCAAAGCTCCCGCAGCAGACGGGGCTCAGCTTGCAGGGTGTCGACATCCTCCCTGGGTGCTCACATCCTCTGGGTGCTGACACCCTTCCTGACCCCCCTGACACCCTTCCTGACCCCCCTGTGCCCACGCAGGACCCGCTGCTGGGGGTGAAGTGGAGGCAGCAGCGACCAGGAGGGGAGGGAGGACGAGCTCCACGCTCGGGACGGGCTTGGGGAGATGTTCTGGAGCTCAGCTGTGGGGTCAATCCTACACAACCAACGAGTAGATGCTCTTCTCCTCCACCTCCTGGCTCCCCAGCGTGGTGCTGCCCATCTTCTCATCGTCTGTCTGCAGGGGCAAAGGGACACAAACTCTGCTGGGGCTCGGGGGAGCTCGTCCTGCCCTGGGGGAGGGACCCACCGAGGAGCAAAGTGGAGACCCCTCTGTCCATATCCTGAGCTCCCAGGAATTCCGTGTCTCACCCTATCCCCTGTCTCACCCTATTCCATATCTCCCCCTAT